ACCTGCAAGAAGTGACATACAACAACCAAGTCTGTTTTTTTTCATGCCTCGCTTATAATGAGGCCGCTGAGACATTGGATGCAAATGACCAAGTAATAGCAGTTATCGTTTATAACATACAATAAACCTCCGACTGGTTATCCAGAATTTGGACCTAGCTGAACCAGACCCAAAATGGAATTTAAAAAATTTTGTGGGCCCTTATGTGTGTGTAGACTCCCGCTGGCCCACTGTATCGGGTACCCCCACCTCACAGTGCTTGCTGGCCTTCAGTGGCAAGGGATATTGATTTTGACTCGGTTTGAATCCCACAAGCAGAAGATAGCTTATTCGTTTTAGTTTAATTGTCAGTTTAAATTCCAAACCTAAATATTTTTGTGAATGTCAAATAAGAGTACAGATGGTCTAGTAAAATGAATAATAATTCAAAATGGGAATATAACCTATATCTACAATCGATATCTATACGTTGCCCCTTGGTGACATCATCTGAGGACATGGGGTCAACTTCCACATGTATGTGAATGACACCCAACTCTATCTTTCTGCCTCCACCCTCAACTGCAGGACCACTGCTGTCCTCACAGACTGCTTGTCGGATATCAAGTCCTGGAAGAGAGGTAACTCTTCCCTGCACAAGCTGCAGATCATCCAGAACTCCACAGCCTGTACTTTCTTTCGTGACCCTATCATTGCCCATCCTCGCCCGACTCCACTGGCTTCCCATCACACAGAGGGTACAGTTCAAAATCCTGGTCCTCACTTTCAAAACCCTCCATGGCCTTGCTCCCCCCTACCTCTGCGACCTGCTAATCTGCTACCAACCCGTCTCAAGACCCTCCTCTTCGACCGTGGCTTTGGTTACCCTCCTTCCCCCGGCCCTCTACCCTTCCTGATCCCGACCTCCAGGTCCGTAACACTCATTATCAGGCGCCTTGGGATGCCTTCCCAACGTGAAAGGCGCTACACAAATGTAATTTGTTGTTGTAGTAGTAGTAAAGTGGACCATCTCAGGCAATAAGAAGTGGGCAAAAGTGGGAACAAATGTTGGTAGATGTGAGCTGTTGGTATCGAGTGCTGGTATGGAGGGTTTTTAATTGACAGGAATTTTTTCGAGGTTTCTCCCGGTCAAATTGTTTTGGGTGGGGTCCTAAGTTTTTACAAAATTGGATATGATTGTGTTATTTATAATTTTACTTTTGTTGAAGGAAGAGGGGAAATCTGAAAAGCCTGCAATGTCGTCTACTGAAATAATAGATTATAATAATCCTTGTATTTAATATAGATTCTTCAACTAACCCCAACTTAAAAATACCACCATTATAAAACACATACATTGTACATTTTTTTAATTAATGGAAACTTGGGACACATTAAAAACATCTTAGTTTTAGTCTGTTCTGCTTATGATTATCAGCAGAGTTTATAGAGAGACTAATGTATGTCAATCGTTCTTTATTCCATTAATACATTTTTGCTAACCCAGACATCACCACTTGCTTTATATAAATAAAATGCCTTGCACAGATGCTTGACAGAAGCTTATTCAATGCTTTAGAAGTTACCATTAGCAAAGTAAAAATATTTACCCATTGAAGTCAAAGAGTCAATCTTAGTTCAGCTGTCTTTGATGAGATTGAATGAACTTAACTAAATGGGGTGTAAGTCACAGAATTTGTCTTATTTTAAAGTTCAAAATGAGGATCATTTCTTCTCATTCTACAGGCCAGATTATCAATTCAAATCTTCATTTTAATATAGTAAATCAAGATTGATGGCAACACTTAACTAGCTTAGTCAGAAAAATGCTTGCATTTAAGTAACAGACTCCACATGGTACTGCTCAGTTCAATACTGAACATAACATAGCCAAAAACAACACTGAATAAACCAGGAGATTCCATCTCTTTACAGTTCAAGTATTAAGGTGAAATGTTATTTTTTTCTTTGCTGCCCTCAGCCAAAAATAAAGGAGCTATTACATAGCAATAATGTACTGCCATTCAAGTCATTCAATTCTTGCAGCGAAGGTGTGAATAGATAATGTTGATCTACATATCTGCTATTAAAAAGGCAAAATCAGCAGCCATTTAAGAAATGTGATTGTATTCCTTCATACACAAACATCAAGAGAAGTCTGGCCTCCTGGAAAGCAGGAATCGGTGGAGGTATATTACAATGGATTCGCAACTGGTTGACTGGAAAAACCCAGAGGGTAGTGGTACAGGAAATATCATCAGACTGGGAAAATGTTACAGTGAGTTCCACAAGGGTCTGTTTTGGGACCTCTTTTGTTTAATACTTTCATAAATGATCTGAACTAGAAGTTGCAAGTACAGTGGCTAAATTTGCAGATGACACCAAAATAATGAAGGTGGTAGATTGTGAATACGCTGTAAGCTGAATTGACCGTATAATTTGTGGGCAAAATGCGGTAGCCAATTGCGCACAGCAGTGTCCCACAAACAGTCATGGATTAAAAATGACCAATTTATTATTGTTTTCTTTTGGAAGGATTATTATTAGGCGTGTGGAGTAAGGAAACTTGCCCAAGGTTTCGCCCTGCCTGGAATTGAACTCAGGTCTCTCGCTTGCAAGGCGAGTGCTCTACCCACTGAGCTACAGGACTACACAGGACTGTAAGATAATAATAATAATCCTTGCATTTGATATAGCGCTTTTCACGTCGGGAGGACGTCCCAAAGCGCTTCACAGAACACACTGCAAAGTGAATTGACTGTATATTTGTGGGCGAACACGGCAGCCAATTGCGCACAGCAATGTCCCACAAACAGTCATAGATTGAAAATGACCAATTTATTATTGTTTTTGGAGGGATTATTATTAGGCGTGTGGAGTAAGGAAACTTGCCCAAGGTTTCGCCCTCTGCCTGGAATTGAACTCAGGTCTCTCACTTGCAAAGCGAGTGCTCTAACCACTGAGCTACAGGACTCCTGTAACATATGGCGCTATATCAAATGCAAGTTTTTTTTATTACATTGGGTCAGCCCTAGCTGGATGATTGGTAGCTCTATTGGTCAGGTCCAAATAAACCTCAACACTCACCCCAGTCGCTGTTGCAGGTGGATTTGATCATACTTGGGAATTGTGCAGATCGGTGGCAGATGAAATTGAAAGTGGAGAAATTTAAAGTACTTCATGGGGACAAAAATTCCTGGAAGGGACTAATATTTTAATGGAAGAAAAATAATATATACGGAAAATAAAAAGGACCTGGAGGTCCTGATTGACAATAAATCAAAGCTCTCCCAACAATGCTTTGCGACAGTGAGTAAATATTGGGATATTGGGATGTATCAAAAGATCAATAGCAAGCCAAAATAGTGGGGTAATCCTGCCACTGTATAAATCATTGGTGATACCATACTTAAGAGTACTGTGTACATTTCTGTTCCCTGCAGTACAAAAAAGATATTGGACAAATCAAGACGATACAGAGGAAGGCAACCAAAATGATTGAGAGAATGGAGAGACTGGACTATGAGGAGCGACTAAGTAAATTGGGCATGTTCATGCTGGAAAAGAGAAGACTGAGAGGCAACCTGATTGCTGTCTTTAAGATTTTAAAGGGGCAAGACCATATAGATCATGACAGTAAAACCAGAGGACACGGCCTGTGATTGAAGGGGGTTAAATTCTGAACAAATCTAAGCAAACACTATTTTGTGAGCGAATAGTGAACTTGTGGAATAGGCTCCCTAGGGAGATGGTTGAAACAGGAAGTGTTGATTCTTTCAAACACAGATTAGATAGTTTTCTTTTAGGAAATAACGTTATGGGATATACTACATAGGTAGTTCGGGACATATGTGCATGCGACCGGCAGGAATGTGGAAAGCGAACTAAATGGACCTTGGTCTTTTTTCGTCTAGCATTTCTTATGTTCTTGTCTTCCACATCTTAAAATAGGGAATGTTTAAAAACAACAAAACTGAAAGTTTATTACCTGCAGTTGTACAGGCAAATACATTTTCAAATGCTGGCCAAATTTGAACTTCTGAGGTAGGTGCAGAAAATCCAAACTCAATCATAAAACCATTTTGCAAATTCGCTTGAATATTTAATTTTCTTATATTATGTTGAATACTTGTGTCAACTTCCTTCATAAGTAAAACTGTGATGGGAGGTTGTGGGATGTTTCCCTCAACCAGCTAATTTATTATGTTTCAAACACCTCACACAGCAACACAGCAATAATTTAATTGCGTCAATAGGCTCAGTTGGTAACAAACTTGCTTCTGGGTCAGACGATTGCGGACTCAAGGTCAACATCAGGATTGAGCTCCTAGACGAGGACAATACTTCAGTACGTTATTGGGGGAGTGCTGCATTCCTTCAGAAGGGATGTTAAACCAAGGTTGCCTCCTTAGGTAGATGTTCAAATATCCCATAACACTATTCACAAAGAGGAATTCCTTCCTTTACCTGCAGGAAAGTTCGCATTCACTTCGTAGCTGTTTGTGTGCCTTACTGTGTTTGCCTACAAAGTCACTACTTTAACAATCATTATTAATACATTTACAATAATTATTGCAAATGTTTGACGAGATATTTCAACATAAGAAGCTCTAAAAATATAAAATGGTGAATAATATCATTACACAAACATACCAATGGGCTACAAACTAAATATAACTACCTCAAATTAAAAGTGCTGCACACTGCATGTCTCCAGGCATCAGTGGTGTCTCTAGCAACCACTGAAAATGTTTTGAGAGCGCAATCACTACTGACAGGATTGCATTCTACACACAGCACACGGGCTTGGCGATGTCAGCGGTGACTACACCAACCCTGTGAGCCTTATTTTAAATCCACCCCAACTGCGTTAATGGAGTTGGATGATTATCACAGGCAGATGGGGTTAGATGATTATCACAGGCAGAAACTTCTGATTAAGGTCTCTATAAAACTACTCAACCTATTCTTGTAAATGATAATCTTATTTGGTGTTAACTGAGGCATATTTTCAAACTCACTTGGGATACACTGGCTCGTACAAACATTTCTCTTCTCCAGAAGATACAATGTCGAAGAGTAGGATGTATCCATTTGCAGTCTGAAATACAAAGAACAGAATATTGGTAACTGGAGTATTTGAACAAAGCTGCCAAATTCACACAGTACATTTCATATGAAAGGTTTTGGCAAAGTGCAACACATATGAGCTGATTACATCATATCAGTGAATCAAGCATGGTATTTTACATACATACACGCAAAGAAACCCCTTAGTTTTGGCTACCTTCCACTGATACACATCAATGTTAGCAGAGGTCAGTCAGGTCTCTGTGACAACTAGTGCAGCATGAGGTTCTTTTTCAAAAGGTTTGTTTGATCAGGGCTATTGATCTTAACCGTAATTGAAGTCCAGATGCCAATCTATAGTTTACGGGTTCAGTCTTCACTTTGAATCAAATGCTGGCTGCAAGTGAGTTCAGTTCACCCCTAGTCAGGGCACATGCACCAATGTCACAAGCAAGGCATTGAGTGGTCTTTTTGCATTTGGCACAAGATGAAAGTGAAGCATTCCTTTCAGATGAAAAGGTAAAAAAAAATTTAACAACTTTCCTGCATCACAAGATGATACAAACTGCAAATCTGGAAATCCATAGCAGATCAGTATTTAAAAGAAGAAAAATTAGAGCAACTTTTCAGGCATGACCTTACAACATTGAGGTCTTTGATATAAACGTTTTTGACAAGTTTGATTAAATACAGTGCAAACAGTTTTGATAAAAGGGTCTGGCCATGCCTGAAAAATTACTTGCTTTTTCTTTCGGATGCTGATTGACCCATTATGGATTTTCAACATCACTTTTATTTCATTCTTACATTATACACTCTTGTTTGAAAAATCAATTTGATATGAATCATCATCGAAGTACATTAAAAATTCCAAACAAATCTCTAATTACTAGAACAAGTAGAAAGAATACACTGATTGATATAAAATGGACACCACCTATAAAACATCTGCAGCTGTAAAACAACCACTCGCATTCACACCGGACGTGTATAACATGAGGAACTATACAAAAATGCTGCTATTACCGATCACGGACCCTTTGAGTACAGAGTTACTACATGTCACAGATGGTGCTGAAATTGTGTTAAGGTGCCACACTACACAGGTAGACAATTAAAAGGTAATTCTGCTGTTAAATCACGTGACTGAAATGTGAATTGTGTTCTTCATGAAGTATGGAGCAAATCTTCTGAGAACTTGAGGCTAAGGATTGCACAACTTGAATGTAGGCTTACACTCAATTTTTTAAGGTGCCCTAGGATATCCCATAAATTGCAGCTTCTATATTGTGTCGAACTGTACAAAATACAGCTCTGAAAGTATCAACAGTAGAGACTGGAAAGGTTTCATCCAACTCCAAATGAAAAGTGTATTTCGGTCGATTCCATTTTTAAGCTAAAACAATTGTCAGCTTCACATGAACAATCACTATAATTTACAGTGTATCCTGTGAAGTATCCGAGACTTTCTTCTGATGTGAAAGGCACTATACTAAATGCAAGGATTAAAGTTAACTTTACTTTAGTAATAAATGCAGGCTATAGGATTTCAACATTTGACCTCAGTTTTTTTTTAAATAGTACATGGTGGAAATATTTTCTTACAGCTCAATTAAGATTTTAACTCTTTAAATACCCTCAAAATTCAATTGCCTTTGACATACTTTTAGCTTTAAGGGATGGGAAAGCATAAAATCATTTACACCACTGCCTGATTCAAATGCAACTACAGTAAGCCCCCAGCATATCTTCAATTTGTACCTAACTGGACTGGGCCCCAAACCAAAAAGATTCCCGCAGGCCTGCAAGCGTGCAGACTCCTGAATTCTAACTCTCCTAGCATTTGCCATCTTCCACTTGCAGGATTCAACAAATTATTTAATTACTCTCAGACGGAAATTCCGGCTCGCAGGACCAGATCTTATTATTGAAGAAGAATTATTTTGAAAATGCTGATAGCCAGAGGCACGTTAAAATGCATCATGGTTTAGTGTGAGTCGAACATTTTTGTGTTTAAATCATTCACTCCCTGGCACCTCCCAACCTCTCCGACTTCCTCACTCATTCACTCACTCCCCAATCCAATCCACCACTCCGCTCGACTGGCACCAGCCTCCTGGCACACTCTCCCCTCTCTCAAGTCCCGCCTGAAGACTTTCTTGTTTGATCATACCACCTCCCCCCTCCCCCTGGCTCGGAGTCAGGCTTCACCAGTGTTAAGCATTCTGAGACGCTATCCTGTGTGGAGGGAGCTATATACGTGCAAGTCGTTGTTGTTATAGTGCTCCGAGATGCTATCTTATCTGACAGGTGCTATATAAATTGCATTGTGATAATGCAGGTGCACTGTGGACCCACGTTAGACTTGAATTATGGTATAGTCTGCTTCTGGTGCGGACTTCCTGTGTTAAATTTCTAGGTATCAGGTGCCACTTTCAGCACGCTATGTATAACGTACAAGCACAGGAAGCCAACCTGTCATGTCTATACAAAGGAAGCAGTGTGCAGCAAGTCAGATCATCGGTAGCAATGGTGACCTGATAACCCAGAGGTATTTTTTTTGTACTTTATTTTTAATGCAGGGGTCTGAGCTTCTCTATCCAGAGTATAAGCTTTAATTAGACCTTCTTACTTTGAAAATGCTGCCTGGCGGATGTGGAACCCCATCTCCATGCTTAAGAATATCCAAACCAAACAGTTCCATGTATTGCACCTACACATGGAAATTCCAGAGGTATTTATTGGAATGGATCCTCCCTCGAAGGATGCATCCTGCTTACCTTGTTCCAGAAAAGTATTTTGGTACAGGTTGGCAAGAGCCAAGGTTGAAGACCCCAGAGTGTATGTTAAGGTACTGCTGGAGTCTAACCAACTAAAACCACAGAGCTTGCCATTGATAGCACTGCCTTTGAAAGTTTTCCCACTGCTTGTCCAGCTAGGATCACCCATTCATTAGGGCTTTTGCTTGCAGGGTTAAACAGGAGCTGAGTGGGAAGCATCTCTGCCCCCAGTGACTGGTTCTGCCCCCAAGTCTTACCGATGAGTCAACCTGTCTGTCTTGTCATCAGCAGTGCCTTGCAATACTGCAGACCTGCCTGGCGCAGGACCTGCACTACCGAGGTTGGGCTCGATTAGGACAGTCCATTGCCAAACATGTCACCTTAGAGCCAGTGGAGCCACTCACCTGATTGCCTTATCTCTTTCCCTCCCTATTCTCAGTCCTATTTTTAGGTTAATTTTAATTTAAACTTTCTACTTTGTTTTCTCTTGAAATTCTTTTTCCAAAAACATTTAGATACGTCTTCCTCTGGCGCCCACTCAACAACAACAATTTGCATTTACATGGCATCTATTAGGCAGGATAGCTTTTTGGAATGTACTATTTTAGTGGAAACCAGGTTAATTTTCATTGGCTGAAAGCCAGAAAATACTAGTTTGAATAAATCTTGAACAAAGGTGTAGGATGGCTAACTAAGGGTTAAAATCCGGTTTATGGGTGATTTCTAACTCCCTATTCATACCACCCCTCCTAGTGTTGAACAAATATTGAGCAAATATAGAATACGCCTTTTGTTCTACATCCAATACAAATTGTAGAAACACTCAGGTTTTGAGGAACTAGAAAACAAGTTTATACTGTGAACCAGTTTATACTGCTATGACGCAGGTGAGGCAACAACACGTGGCAGTGTTCTCATTTACAAATGACAGAGCAATATAAAATGCATAACTACAATAATTGTGTAAAATATGTTGCTAAAATAATTGTTGTCAATACTACAACTCTGGGTATCAAGAATGAAAAGTATTGCACAATATAATCATACTTTCACAATGAGAAATAGTGAGGCGCCAAAAGGCAACATAATTACAAAATACCTCTCAACCAGTGAATTCACACTGTGGCGGCCTGGTTTACAAGTCAGTCTACTTGTGATACATAAGTCAAGATAGATAGGAGTCTTCAGTGCATATCCTCTCAGCCTTTTCAGTCTCACAAACTATTTACTGTAGTCTGGGGTGGGGGGTGGGGGGTGGGTTTGCATTGCAGGTATGAAACAGTACTGTAATAGTGCTGAGAGCTGTCAATCATTCATACAGTGCAATGATTCTGTTTGATGTTTAAGAGAGTTATTTATAACATGAGAAAAGGATTCAGTTAGATTCAACATCTGGTTTTAATACGACAGCACCACAGCTGAGGAATGTGCTTAATATGGCATTTTCCAAGTGAAATTTTTACTGCTGCAGTTTTTTTTAAAAAAAAGTAGCAGTGCCATTGAAAATATTAGTCATGCCAACAAAATAAAACCTTAGCTTGAGGAGAGACCTTCTTTGAAGAGCACCAACCTAACACTTTACTCCTTCACCGTTCCCCCTCCCCCGTAAATTATAAACTTACTTTCTGGGGTAAACACATGCATCACTAAATATCCTGTGATGTCCTGTAGCTCAGTGGTTACAGCACTCGCTTCACAAGCGAGAGGACCTAAGTTCGATTTCCCGGCCAAGGCGAAACAGTGGGCAAGTTTTCTTACTCCGCGTGCCTGTTTGCCTTGCAGCAAGTAGGAACCCAGTTGTTAAGTCAATTGGCCGATCGCTTTTCTGGGGTTAATAATCCCTTCAAAAAATAATAATAATATAATCACTCAATCCATGACTGTTTGTGAGACACTGCCCTGTGCAATTGGCTTATACAGTCAATTCACGTTACAGTGTATTCTGTGAAGCACTTTGAGACGTCTCAAAGACAATATATCAAACGATTATTACTGCTATTATTATAAATCAGAACTGAACTAACTGGAGCCCCCAATTCAACTCAAGAGTCAAGAGGCGCTTCCTTATTAATAATCCTTGCATTTGATATAGCGTTTTTCACGTCTTCTAGACGTCTCAAAGCACTTCACAGAATAGAAGCGCCTATTCAGTTCCTTTACACAAAGTTTCTCCCTTACTTAAGCTACATTTATCTATGTTGCAATTGCAACACAGGAACACAGCTTTGATGTGCTGGAAGATAGGAGCCAG